GGGGTAAACAGAGCAGAGTGCTTTTGGGCTCAATTGTGAGACTCATCATCAATTTGTCTATGTTTTGTATTGTTGGTAGCCGAGGCTGACCATGTTTCTGTATTATCTTTTTTCTCTAAGTAATGAAATCTACTTTGATTACTGATCAAAAAAAATGAGAGGGGGAGCTGATCTCACCTTTAACTTTGCTTCAATGGAGTTCTTTGAAGGGCCTTAATTAGCTAAAATGTTCAAGAACCTATCTACCCACAATGTAGGTTCATTCCAACACATGAGACTAAAAATTTGTCAAACTTCTTTTTATTGCTTTTTCAATCACTTTGCTTCCCTTTAAGCATTTTCGAATGGAGCACTACTTGTAGGAGGCTCCTTGAATAAAAAAGAGAGGGGGAGCTGATCTCACCTTCACTTTGCTTCAATGGAGTTCTTTGAAGGGCCTTAATTAGCTAAAGTGTTCAAGAATCTAACTACCCACAATGTAGGTTCATTCCAACACATGAGACTAAAAATTTGTCAAACTTCTTTTTATTGCTTTTTTTTTTTCTTTTTTTTTTCTAGGGGAATGGTACTACACTTTGCTTATTATGGGAGAGGGGAGCCTAACACCTTCCCTCTCTCCCCTAAAAGGTACCTAGAAGAGTCTCGATTTGGCTATGTGAGAGTCATTTTTTGTTTTTTGAACGTGGGAGGCCCATCACTCCCATGTTTCTTTCTTTGAAGGGTGGCGGCTCCAGTCAATTTCAGCCATGAAGTGAACCCCAAATCAATTAGGATGTTCACAATTTAAATTCAATTAATGGTTTTGATAGAAACCTTGATTTTAGAAGAGGTTTGAGGGATTCTAAACTACCTAGTGTCCTTACATTGCTCAAGCCCCTAGAAAAAGTCATTCTTGATCCCTCTAAACTAGATGGACGAATTTCAACTCCCTCTCTTGCTTCCTATTATTGTGCTTCTTTTTTCAAGGCTTTCACCCAATCTCTCTTTAAATCCTTGCAACGTTTTCCTGTCAAGGAGGTATGGTGTAAGTCTATCCCCTCCTAGAATTGGGACTTTTTGTTGGGAAGTTGTACACAAAAGAATAAGTACCTTTTGCTGATTTGTCCTTGTTAAAGAGGTTTGGTGTAAGCCTATTCCTCTCTAGGTTGGGAGTTTTTGTTGGGAAACTATGCTGAAAAGAATGAATACAAGTGATCTACTTCAAAGAAAGAGGCCCATGGCTTGCTTATCCCCGCATAGGTGTATACTCTGCAAAGCTGATGGGGAAACTGGTTACCACCTATTAGTCTTGCCATTTTGCTAAAACTATTTGGGATTGGATCTTTTCACTTTTCGGGTGTAGGTAGAATCCCCCACTGAATGTGCAAAGCTTGTTTTCTCCCTCTTACTTCAAATGGCCTTTGGAAAGAGGAAGGATTTTGTGGAGGTGCATAAGGGCTGCTGTTTGCTGGTCTTTATGGGAAGAAAGAAATTCAAGAACGTTCTCTGACAAAGAGAGAAGCTTTGGAAACATAATAGATCTAATCCACATAAGGGTGGCACAATGATTGAAATCTTTGGATTTTTTCACAGATTTTACCTTTGATGACTTGCTATGAAACTGAAAAGAGATAGCAAGTTCTGCCCAGGTTAAAAGGGTTCCAAGTCCTTGGATCCTTCCCCCCCACTGGCTTTAAAAAACTGAACTTTGATGGCAGTAGTATAGTGTACCCAGGGAAATATGGTATTGGGGGAGTTTTCAGGAATGAGGATGGGAATGTTTCAGCCATTTTCTCAGGCCCAATTGGTGAAGGTGACTCTCTTAGGGCTGAGATCTCTGCGGCCTTTGAAGGAATCCAAAGAGCAAAAGAAATGAATATAAGGAGACTTGTAATTGAAAGTGACTTGGAGGTGGTAGTAGGTTGGTTAAAAGAAGACAAGACTGGATTGTGGAGTTACAACAATGAAAAGTAAAAATTCAAGTGGCTGGCTAAGGACATTGAGATAAAGTACAGTTGGGTGAAGAGATCTGCTAACTCGTTTGCTGATAGGTTAGCCAAGCAAGGGGTGTTTAGGGAATCTATGTTTTGGGCTCATTTTTAATCTGTCTTTTGATTTTCTTTTGGGGGCTCTATCCCTATTATGGGGGAGTTAAGACGGTTTATCTCCCCTTTTTGTACTTAAAATTTCTTAATGATTAATGAAAGTTACTTGTTATTGATAAAAAAAATAAATACTTTAGATGGCTCCAAGGAAAGAGGCAAAAGTGGCGTTTATCCCCTCATTGCTTTATTCTTTGTAAAGCCAACGGTGAGACTTGCAATCACTTATTTATTTCTTGTTTCCTTGTTGTTGGCATTTGGGAATGGTTCTTATTGTACTCTTTTTTCTCTATTTAACATTAACGAAAAGCTGCAGTTATTGATAAAAAACTTTTAGAAATACCAGTGTGATTTATTATCTAGAAATTTTTATGATATCAATATATCATCATCATCTAAGCCTTATCCCAACTATTTGGGGTCAGCTACATGAATCCTGTTTTGCTATTCTATTCTGTTTAGTGCCATATCCATTGTTAAATTATTAGCATTTAAATCATTCTTATTACAACAGTTTAGCCCATGTCTTTTTCCTTTCTAGTTTTTCCACTCATTCATCTCAGCATATGCATTTGTGCCACACTCATTTTTGGACATGTTTCATGACTGCCCAATACTCTGCTCCACATGGTTCAAAGTATCGATACACCAGATATATGCAAACCTATGTATCGGGTGTTTCAACAGCTTACAACTTTTTCTTTTTTAGTTTTTTTTTTTTTTTTTAAGTGATCAGGGGGGTCAGTCTTAGACCTGTCTACCCCCTGGAAAGACCAAAAATTCTGAAAGCCCTTTATTTTCTGCATCGACAAGCTCCCAATATGATATGATATGCTCAATACAGGGCATATTATGTCGACTTTTTGAACGTTGATGCTCCATATAACATTGTTCTTACAAAAGTTGTTTATGATACGCTGTTCAGATAACTTGGTAGCATTCTTGCTATGAAGTATACCATAAAAAGTGTCCATGCAGTATCAAGTATCATTTAAGATGTAAATGGTATCTGGCCTAGGTGTGGTAAGCATGTAAGGCTGTCTAGGTATCATAGCTTATCAATTCACCACAGCTACATGGTGATTTGATGATGAAGCAGAAGCAGGATACCTTAAGGATGCAATCAAGTATCCCCCCTGTACTTTACCTATAAAAAGTTTTACATTCAAAGCCATTGGTGCTATTTATTTGCAACCAAGTAGTAACACAAAATACAGGCGAGCTGATTCCATTTCTTCACATTCACTTGGAGACTATTAAAGGCCTTCAATGTGTTTGAAGTTCAAAAGATTGGTCCTTTTGGATTGCTGATTACCTAGGGTTTAAGAAGAGCCACCTAAACTATGCGTAGGGTGAGATTGAGCAAGGCATCTTTTTAGCATGATGCCATGATCTGCAAAATAAAGATTACCAATAATTCCAATGCCAACCAACAATTCTTGGTGAAATAGAAGAATAAATAAAAATCAGAAATCATTTATCTAAAAACCGGACTGCACCAGCTGATTCAACAGGGTTGGCTGGAACTAGGTGTGATCATGGGGTCTGGTACCTAGTAATAAGGGCCTTAATACAAACTTTTGCCTGACGTGGTCTTTAACCTGTCTTTTCTGGGCCTAAAGTATATATTTCCAGTCTGGGCCAGGCTAAGCCTGGACTGAAAACCTACACCTAGTATCTAGTAACGTGGATGATTTCTTTGACCAAGGGTCCATGGACACTCCAGCAATTTATAAGAGAAGCTAGATCTCTCGCTTCTAGAACAAATGCGTCGTTGATCCAGATTCCAAAGATCGCCAATTTATAAGAGAAGCTATATATATATTTTTTGGTGAAATTCCACTTCTGAAGATTGATTTTCTACTTTTTCGTTTTTCCTTGACATAATGTTAATGTATTTAACTGGCCAGAAATCAGAACAATGGCTGAGTAATCTTGCAATTTCTATGGTACTGAAAAGATACTGAACCTAAAAGAGTTAAACCAATTAGAATCCTAGGTGATTTTGAGTGAAATACCAGTTGATTTGTTATTAATTTGTTAGGTACCATACCTATTTTTGTATCACACTAGGACTCTTTGTACTTTTATCTTTTGCTGTTCCACTAGCTGACCCAAATGACGAGGATGCTCTTCCACATGAGTGGAGATGTGATGGCCACAGAGGCATGACTGAGGTTTTTGATTTAGAGTAGTAACGGATTCTACATGAATGAATATTAGCATCAAGAACAGAGGACGATGAGGAAGAATCTTTTGAATCATAGATTCTACAAGTTCAGGATCTGCAAGGAGATATTGTCTCAGCAGCTAATCCACTACTCATGTTTAATTAGCTGAGGAGTTTGAAATTTTGAATGAATATTAGCATCATGTTTAATTCTCTACCAATGGATAGTTCAAAAAGAGTTTTGTAAAAGATGCAGATGCTGAGTGGCAGGCAATTGCATGAATCTTGCATGTGTGCTTGGTAATGGGTTAGCAGATTAAAACAATTCATGCACTCGTGGAACTAGTAATTTTGTTTATCTATTTCAGTCTTACATCCTATTTTTGTTTATTGCCTTCTTTTAGTGTAGGTTAACTGATGCTATCAGTGCCTGTCAGATTTTGCCAGGTTATAGCCTCCAGAGCCTTGTACTCATCTATGTTAAAGTCAAAGTTCCTTTCAATTGCTTATTCTATCAAACTGACATTCTTAATGATGGGCTTCTCTATTTTTACATGTTTGAAGCTAATAAATAGTTTAAACTATATATATGCTGGTAACATTCCAAGTGTGCATGAATTTATTCGAGTTTTTTAGTGTACACCTCTCTCTTTAAGAGTTATATTCCATTGATTAAGGTTGCTCTACTCTGTCTCAAGTGAATGCTATCCATAAAAAGATACCAATATAACATGTTCTCGTGTCTACAGATGGACACTGTGATTTCCCAAGCACAAGCAACGCTTGGAGCACTTTCTCTTCAGCATGCAACATTTGGGGGTATCAGTTCGAAGTTGACAAATGTTAGCAGTCGTTTTCCTACGGTATGATCGTTATTTAAAATGCTTGGTTAGGTTGGGCTTTCTTTTTGCCAATTGACATATTTGAATACTGAGTAATTGCTTATACTCTTCTGAAATATTTGTGCAGGTAAATAATATTCTGTCAGCAATAAAAAGGAAAAAATCCATGGATACCATTATCCTTTCCCTTGTTGCTTCTGTTTGCACATTTCTTATACTGATTTACTGGTTGACCAAGTAGGAAGGTAATGTGGGTCTTGGGTGGAGCTTTTGTCATTATTCTTTATTGTTATATTGTAAGTAAGAACATTGTTGGTTCTTGAATGCTTTCTTATTCAATGAAATTTTGTATACTTGTTATCTATCTGGTCTAAGTGGTGTTTGCCTTCTAAGTGTGTTTGGGTACTGCAAGGACATTGGACCAGGACAAATCACTTATGGAGTTTGCATTGGTAACTATAGTGGTCAAAAGCCAAATTTAGCATATTTTGATGTACAGTCTGTCTATCCCAAATTTCATGCAAGGATTTGCTCATGAAATTGTAATAATAGTGTAGTACCAAAAAAGTGATAAAACAGTGATAATATTGTTTTAAGATGTGCAAGGTCCGTGCCTTGAGGTTTGGCTCAAGGAAAAGCTTTAGGAAAAATTGCTTGAGGATCAACTTTAAAGCCCATGCCTTACACCTTGAGATGCCTTACAAAACTGAGTTTATGGTGSATTTCATACTCCATATAGATAAGCTCCTCTGGTACTCCATTATAGGAGTATACTGGTTTCACCGTACTTATCCATCATTTTTAAGATTAGTACAATATAACGGATCTGTTGAAGGTTAAAGAAATATCTAAATTGTGAGGAGGTATACATTTTTGTTGATGCGAAATCAGACTTTTGAACCAGATAATCAGGGTTCATGAAGAGTTAGGTAATCAGTATAAACAATTTAGTAGTGGGAAAATAATCTGCACGTAATATTACTGCTGGGTCTATTACTTTACTAATCAGCATTTATTGTTAGACCAATATAATCGGCTTCTCATTCACAAGCAAGAAGATTGGATTTGTTTCATGTTTCTATTTAATGGGTGTTCTTCCTAGGCTCAGTTATCTGATTTTGTGGTATTTCCTATTCTGTTTCTCCTTTTAGAACTAGTACCTCTTTCTGGTCACCATGTTTTGGGTGTATTCAATAATCATAGTTTGGGTTGACAGGGTTCTTTAAGAGTAAAACCTGAATTGATAGCGGGTTTCAGCATCTCTTGGGAATTTGTTGGACATATCTTAGCTTTTTCTTCCAGCCAGGGGCTAGGAAAATCCAACTGTACCACACACTATCACATTTAAAGATGAAATGATGGGTCCAACATGGTAAACGTCTTATTCTCGAAAAGTTTGTGGCCATTGAATTTAAATTGTTGATTTGGTTCAACTTCTCAGAGACAACAAAGAACACAATGAATTTAATTTGTTGAGCCTTGGTTGAATATTCATTTAGAACTGGATGATGAATCTCACCTTTTACATTCTAATCCTAGAAGCCTAAGCGTGAAACGACTACTGTTATACCTCTTCTGGTATTAGTAAGGTTTCTCTTGTCAACTGTCATGTTCTCTTTTTTATAGGTTTATCCAATTCTCTAGAACTTGTAAGAGCGCTACTATCCATTTCATTGGCTTTTGGCGTTACTTTGTCACATGCAGTTCTGGCCAATTTCTTGTTCCATACATGGCCTTGACAAGACCAACCTAATTGGTGCTTGGTGCTTCTTATCTCAAATCCAATCCACCGACCAGAGGCCCAACTAACCTGAGATTGATAATGAAAGAAATCAGTGAACTTGCGGGTAGGGGGTGTCTATTTGAAGTTCAACCCACCATCTGACCTGCCAATGTGCTAATCCGTTAATAAACCTATTTAGATAAAATTAAATGGGCTGGGTTCAATGCAAGCCGACCTTGACCCAACCCATTAATCTTTTAATTGGTTAACTGAGAATATGAGATATACACAAGTTGCATAAAAATATAACATGAATTGCAAAATTTACATAAAAATAACAGAGGAATTGCAGAAAATATTAATATATGTTGCAGAATAAAAAAAGGCCCCCAAATATTAATCACCTGATTTGCTCGTGTCTCTACAAATTCCTGATTTTTTCTATTTTTTATTTTCTGCAAAATAAATTCATTCACCAAAGAAATCAAGAAATAACCATCAATCCTCAGCGATCGGATTGGCTGCCCACATAGTGCTGCGTTCGACAGCCCATCCCCTCCGTGCACTGGGAACATCTCCCCATGGGCGGTGGGGTCCTCGTGGGGTGCACTACGTGGACACCCGATCCTGTCTCCAATCCTCATACTTCAATGCCTCTTATTTTCCTCCATTTATTTCTACTTTCTAGGTCCTTTCTGATTACTCTCTGATTAGTTCGTGTAGGCCGTTAGGGTTCTTCAACATTCTCTAATTTGTGATAGAAAGGAATTTAGGGTTTTATTAGGGAAGAAGAACACATGAGGAAATGCATAGATGCAAATGAACAAGAGAAAGGGAAAGATTGTGACTACAAGAAGTTGAAAACAAGAGAATGATCTTTCTTCAGTTGTGGTTGCTTGTAGCCTGCTAGAGAGAGGGGAAGAGGAAGAGTAGAAAGAAGAAAAATTAAACAAGAATAGGAGAGAACCCTACCTTGCTAATGGATATCCAATGGGTAACCATGATTAGGGCTGCAATTGAATCGAGCTCTGATCAAAAGTTTGGGCTCAAGTTCAATTAGTCTCAATTCGAGTTCTATTCTAGTCGAGTTTGAATCTTGAGGTAAGCTCAATTAGTTATTTGAATTCAAGTTCAGCCCAAAAGCTCAGAAGCTTGATTTGATTAACATATACATACATGCATACTTCCATAAATATATTACAGAATATAAAAATATATTTTATAATATATATTTTTATATTCTATAATATATATATCATATATATTTATAAAATATAAAAATATATTCACTTTCAAACTTTTGAACCAAATTCAAGTTTATCAAATATTTAATCAAACCRAAAAATAGAGTTCAAATCGAACTCGAACTCAACTTGAGCTTAATGGTATTTTAGTCAAACTGACGTAGGGCATGCAGGAGTTTGACTTGGCTAGGCTCGATTGCACCCCTTAACCATGACCCAACCCGCCCAACCCATTAAATGTCCACTTATGGAGTTAACAAACTCGCAAATGACCTTGAACTAAGCAAATAGTTTCAAACCCATTAATAAATGAGTGGGTTGGGTAGGTTCAATATGTTGTGTTGGAAATTGTCACCCCTATTTACAGGGTGTCCTTGAGTTGGCTTTACAACTTTCAATCAAGTAAATATTCAGATTGTGTTATATGAAGGAACCTAAGAGTAGCTTCAATAGGTGATAAAATGAGAAAGTAGACTAAGTTGGTTTCATCATGTGTATAAAAGACCATTTATAACACCCACTAGAAGAAATAGTAAAAAATGATTTAAACAGCCATAATTTGACAATAAATAATGGCACTGAACAAAATGGAATGGTGAAATAACACTCATGTAGCCAATCCTGTATAGTTAAGACAAGGGTTAAGGACCATTTGGTAACAGCTGAAGTTAAAGACTTTTTTTTTGTCTTCTAATTAAAAAAATAATTAAATAATAAAATACTCACAAATATAATAATCTATCAAATTTCAGCTTCAGCCATTAAAGAGACCCCGACCTCCTTAAAATCTTATTTACTAAAGACAAAGGACAATGCAATAAGCTTTTCAGTTCAGCCACTTAAATTGTGATGATGATGATGAAGTAAATATTCTAGATGGTGGGACACCATGTGGAATCTAGTAAGCAGATAAGGCCAGATCACCCACTAGAAAATGGGTCATTTGGGTTTCACATAAAGAGCATTAAGACAAAATTGAAGCTTTAGGGTGTATGGCTAATGAATGTGACCTCGGAGTGCTGGACCTTTTGGCAGGTCGATAGGGCTGTTCATAACAGACCCAAACCGACCAACCCAGTCCGATCCAACCCGAGTTGGTCGGTTTTTTTTGGTATCGGTCGGTTTCGGGTTATAAAAAAATATAAACCGATAGTTTGGTTCGGTTTACCGAAACCGAACTGACTTACATATATATTATATATATAATATATTTCAGATATTATATATATATATATCTGATATATTTCAGTTTTAATATATATATTTCAGCTTTATTTCAGAAATATACATATTATATATAAAATATTAGTTTTAGTCCATCAAATCATTTTTAATTTTCAGGCATCCAGCCTTTGCTTTGTTAGACTTGAATCCTTTACCGTTCACACCGAGAGAATCATTTACAAAACCGACTCAAACCGATCCAAACCGATTCAAACCGACCAGGTCGGTTTTACTTAGTACTGAGTCGGTTTCGGTTTCATTTCTAGGTAAACCAACCAGGTCATGTCGATTGGAAAAATGCCAATAAACCAACCCAATCCGACCCGTGAACAGTCCTATAGGTCGAAAAGGCATGCCTTCTTTTCAAGTCACTTTCTTTGTTTTGGCTGCAGTTGTGATTTTGCTTGATTGGTGGGGTAGATGGAAGGCAGGAAAAAAAAACAAAGAAATTGTAGTTAAAGGACGGAAATATAGCTAGGCATACTTCAGAGTGAAAAACGGTTTTTATTTTATGTTGAAGCAAAATAAAACTTCAGAAACAGGGGATTTCTTTTTGGCCACGTATGATATTTCAATCTCCATCAACCTATATTCCTCCTTTTCGTTAGTGCTTTTCCCTAGTGATCTAGTCCATATTTTATTATCAAATTTGTCTAAAAAGAGATTTATTCTGATCATATGGCAGGGGATGCTTGGATGATAAGACCAGATCTCCTAGCACGTTGGAAGACATGTATCATTATCATACCATAGTCATTTTACACATTTATTTTAGGGTTTAGGATTTAAGGGTAAGGGTTTAGAGGTTAGATTTTTGGTTTAGAGTTAAAACTTTGGGGCTTAGGATTTAAGGTTTAGGGGTTTAGATTTTAGGGTCTAAGGTTTAAGGACTAAGGTTTTAGGATTTAGGGCATTATTTTAAAAGGCTTAAGCCTCACAAGATTTTGCCATGTGAGGCTTAAGCCTTTGCCAGGATGAGGCGTAAGCCTCAAACCTCAAGGCGTGAAAAGGCGTAAGCTTTAAGTATCAATGATTATTTAGTGATTTAATGCATATATATATATATATATATATATTTGATGCATTTTTTAGTTTGAAATATATGAAAGAAGTACTTCAATCATTATGAGCTAAATAAATAAAAAGAAAAAAAGAAAAACCCATTGGGGAAATCAACTTCTAGTAGTTTCTCTTAGT